TAATTTGCTAATCAGATCTAGAAAAAGGCTTTACTTCCTGGTGACAAGTACTGACTAGTTAGGACTTCCTGGGCTTGAGGGCTTGGTAAAGAGGTAAATTTCACATGAGAAGAGTGATATGGTTGTTTTCACAGCCTCTCTGAGGAAGTCCTGTTTCAACTGTGTGACCACAGCACCCCACTCACCTGGGAAACAAACGGGAAAGCTGAGGTGCACTGAGCAACAGAAAGTTGACTCCTGCTCTTGGCTGTGTGTATAGGGTCCATATAGAGGGACATATTTTTATATGAGCATATGGAGTCACCCAGGAGCGATGAAAGGAATCCTTAATGAAAAAGGCTCTGTGAATTGTAAGGTATGCAGTAGATTGTAAAATCAGGGTTGTGCTGAAGACACAGAAGTGCTCTTGGACCGCTGCTCTGAGATACTGAGTTGAGAAAGTAACCAGAAGAGGATAACAAAGGGCTGGGTAGAAGCAGATAAAAGTGACTCCAAGCTACTTCTCTTGCTTCTGCTGGGTGGCTCATTTAATCAAGCAAGTCTACCACAGATTGTCTTTTTTTTTGTCTAAATATGAGCATTGCTAGCTCAAGTCACTGTGTTGTTGTGCTTGCTCCCATCATGGCAAAAAAGTAGGGTGATGTATGAAGAATAACTGTGGTTCCTCATTTCAGTTGTATGTCTGGGAAAATCATGGCTTCCTGAGGCATTTTCCATTTGTTTGTCTCTTAAGATGCCTCTATTCAGACATGAGATTGCTAGCAAGAAAAGCCTTATTCAAAATCACATTAGGATAGCTTTGCATTAAGGTGGTATTTAGTTTCATCTCTCTGGAAATGGATGGAGAATTGCAGAGAAATAACCACCTAATTCAGAGCCACATCATTTGGATACCTGCAACCCCAAAATGCATTCATGTCTTTGTGGGTATCAATTCTTGTTAATTCCTTTCAGTCCAGTTAATCTAGTTAGTCACCCACTGGGCTTGCAGCTCTCCACAGCAAAGTCAGCAGGATACAAAACTGGTTATACTTCTAATATTTAATTTTTTTCCCTTTTACATCCTTCTGCATCATACCACATACTTGAAGCTAGCAGCTTCAATAGTGTTTACCATGAAGCCAAGCTAAGTGTGTGCTGACTCTGGAGAATCTGATCAACAGAGCAATGTAGGTCTAGCCAGGGGTGCTCTCTATCCCCATCAGCAACATGGAGAAGGAACAAACAGAGCAAGATAGGGAATTTAGCCAATCATGGTAATTTGTTTCAGTTGGTGAAAACTGTTGAGGTTTTTTAGACACTCCAGCAGGAATTAAATATCTTGGCAGTGCAGTGAGAGAGGAGATTTGACATGGAAAAAGGTACAATAATGCCCATTGGCAAAAGTAATCCAAGTTTTTCCTCACTTGCCTAAGCTCTGAATTTGCAATCTGCTGTGAAGGAAGAACATTTGGGTAGATGCTATCACAGATAGCTTAATGAAGCATAGAGCTGCAGTTTTAAAAGGGAGCTGAGCTGCTTGTGTTTGAAAAAATAATACAGTAACACAGAGGGAACTCTAATACATGGATATTCTGATAAAAAGTTAATGGAGAGCACACAGTGCAAGACTGACGCTGCGGTTGCCTCCTGCTGAGCACCAGAGCTCAGAGGGTCAAAAATAATTATCTACTTGCATGGATATTAAAAGCACCCCAGATTAAATGATATGAGAAAACATAAAAGGAGTCTGTTCCGTCTGTATTCTTCAGAGACATAAACTAATTCCTCTTTGAGGCATGGAAGAAAGCATTAAGGACATGGCTATTGTTTCTCAGAGGTTTTTTTTAACATCTTTCCTTTGAAGCATTAGTACTAGCTGCTGCCAGTCGGACAGAACACCAGAATGTACTCAGGTCTGATCCAATGAGGAAAAAAGTTACTTTTCTGTTTCAGAATTACAGTGATACACAGTGCAGTGCTCTGTTATATCAGTAAGCTCTCAGATATTTGATTATCCCTCTTCTAAAGAAATATGCTGTCATCTCATTAAATGCTAGATCTATGAAATTTTGTGCTGAGTTGGACAATATTTCATTCACCAGGAGAGAGCTTCAGAAGTCTAAAAACTCACATGCAAGAGGTGAAGTTCTAAAAGAGTCTGCATTTCTGACAAGAGCAGGTTTTTGGCTATCAGGTCAGCCTTCTCAGGAGCAAGGCACAGCAGAGTATATAGAAAGTGTTTTGACCTCTAGAAGCATGGCATGTAAGGATGTACCAGGAAATACAAGGCAAACCAAGGGCAAGCACTACGTTTAGAGGTTGCATAATATTCTTAATATTTACCGTGAGTGGTTTAAACACATAAAAGTAGGAAATACAAACAGTTCTCTTCTTACAGATGCACAGGACAGACTATACTGCCTTTTTATAAAGTGATCAAATGACACTGGCCTTTAAGTACTTTGCTCTTGATTTGCCTTTTCAGTGCCAGGTTACAACCCAAATGCTTTTTCCTGGAGCCGTATAATTTGGAGCCATTATTGCACCAGATGGTACAACTTTGGTTTCTAGTTTTTCCTCAATTTGCCAGTCTGGATTTGTTTGGTTGTTTTTTTGCAAGCATAATTGTGCTGGGAAAAGTGTTGTTCTGGGAATCTAGTAGTATTATTCTCCTCCTTGCAGGCTATAGCAGTACAGGAAGAACCAAATTAAATTTCCAGGGAGCACACATGGTGCCTGGGCATGGCCAGTCCTTGTGCCGCTCCTGTTGTATTATGGGCACTGCTGTGTGACCAGTTTGCATTGTAGACCCCCAGACATGAAACTGAAGCCAATCATTTCACAAAGGCTCTTGGAGGTTCAGTCATTTCCTGTCACAGATCTGAGGTCTGTTCCTGCAGAGTGCCAAGGTGAACATGTCAGGTCTTTTTGCTTTCAGCCTTGAGGTACCAGTGCTGTGCAAGCTGGGAATTTGAACCACCTTGCATAATTTCTTCAAAGTTTTGCCTGCAGCCACTTGTCTGGCTGGGTGCTCAGATGGCTTTACCTCAGAGTTTGTACAAAACATTCTAGGGCAATATTGTGCAAAAAATTCTCATGCCAGGCTGTTCCCAAAGGGGCCAGTGGGCTCTATTAGCTAGTGAGCATTTTCATTGAGGGACGCCACTAATATGCCTGTGCTCAGCACATCTTCTATCCATCCATCCAGCCCCTGAGACCCTAGTCTGATGTATTTAGATGTTACTTTGTTATTTTCTTTGAGGAGGGAAAGCATGAAAAAAACTTGTTTTCCCAAAGTCTTCATATGTGCATTAATCACTTTAATTTGCACACCGCATGCCTTCTCAAAAGCAGCTGCATGGTATGTTTCTTGAGCCTAGGCCATCATTGGCCAAGGAAACAAATCACAGACTGACTAGATCCTCAGCTGATGACAAATGGAGTTGGAAGCTAGTCCTTTTTTCCTAGCTGAGGGCTTGACTTGGCTCCTGCTCCTTAAGAGCTGCCTTCTTCCCTGTTTTAAACGTTTTTGTCATGGGAAGCAATTATAGAGCAAAAGGTGAACAGATATCCAAAACTGTTCTCATGAGTGACTCATCCAAAATGCAGTTGAAGGATGAGAAGGAAGCCTGTGTAGTGTTTATATAGGGAAGCAATAAATTTTCACCATGCAGCTATTGGCTACTTTACTGTAATAAAGCAAGGACTTTGAAATCTCCTACTGCCATAAAGGGGTTTTGCTGCTCTAGGCAGGAATAGCTGTAGTCTCACCAGAGAGTGAGGGAGGCTCTGGCTATTTTCTCAAGCCACTGAAGTCATTGAGTAAGGGATACTCAGCATTGCATTCCAAGCTGCCCCTGCTGCCAAGCAGTGTCTAGTCCTTAGTGACTCCCTCAAAGCAATTGAATTCTAAGTGGCTACTGTTGTTTTTGAAAAGAACATTTAATTCTTTGAAAACATAATAGTATCAGCCTTTATTGATTTGCAGTCTGTGCTCTTGCAGCACTTGCAGTAAACTGCTGTTTACAGCTGCCTGTGTGGTTAGCCCATGGGAGTGGAGGTAAAGAGCCACAGCAGTGCCTCTGAGCATAGAGAGGAGTTAAACATACATTAGCCATGTGCTTTCTGCTGAGAGTCTTGGAAGTTTAAAGATGAATGGGCTCTATGCAGGCAGTGTCTTGCAACTACACATCATTGTCCCTGAGTCAGTAAGCTCACCAGTTTGCTACTGTGTGTTGATACAACCTAGCACTGTGCTGTACTTTAGTACTAAACTGAGCAGATGCTGTAGAAACTGGGCTGATTTCAGCATTATCTATCTTTCTAGCCCTGCCATGGGGTCTGGCTTATCTAGAAAATTTGAAGATACTGATTTCTAAGTTTTGTTTCCTCTTTCTTGTATAACTTATGTAGTTCAGGCTCGGTACCTCATGAGCTGTCCTAGCATCCTATGACCATATGAATGAATTTTTTCCCCCTTCCTTATGTCCTTTGGCTCCTAGGGGAAAGAAAAGGCTGGCTTGACACACAGGCATCCACTGCTGACCTTTGAGGTGAGCTGCTGTGACCAGTGTAAAGGTTTGTCTCCCTTACAGGCCCTCAGCACAGAGCCAGTCCTGGTTATCTTGTGTTTATCATTCTTGCATTTGCAAAGTGGAAGGAGTCATCCTGCCGCAGGTTGTGAAGTCCCCAGAGGCAGTGACAGGCACAGGCTTTGGCCCTGCTGTAGGGCACCAGTGATAACAATGGTGGAAGAACCATGGTTACTCCTGCCTTTTTTGGGGCTCATCTTTCCACAGGGACCAGTGTTCTTCATTTATGAAATCATTCCCCCAAGGTAATGTTTCAGGCCTGAATATCTTATGTCTGCTTATGCCTTGTATCTTTTCTGCTGATCAGCAGAGGATTTTAGTTTCTGAAATGTGTCATTGTCACTACAGTTCACTCAGACTATGACCACCTCTATTGGCATCACAGAGATGGAACCCAAGGGCAAATCCGTGTGGGCTGGCCACTAATGCTCAAGAAGTCTGTTCTTGAGAAACAGTCTTACACTTCTTGTAACAGAAGTGGCAGTCCAAGGGTCTGAGTCTCACAAGTGAAAGTATGGCTTGCTGAAGAGCACAGCGGTCTTGTGGCCAGGAAATGGTGTTTTTTCATGGTGTGAAACACGTGGTAAGGTGGGGGAAAATATGTATGTGATGCTGCTTACTTGGAGGGGAAATATTAGCAGAGGGGTGGGATAGGGTGTGTGGGGAAGCATCTGTGTGAAGTGCAGTGGTAGGAAAGGGTTTGTGTGTAAGGAGGTTCATGAGTCTGATGTGAATGAAGGAAAGAGTGGGCTTTGCCTGTGACAGCTTTGTGTGCTTAATAATTCTTTGGCTTGCACAGGAGGAGAAATGTGGAGAAAGGAGTGGTGTCATAGGGCTCTTCTGAGGTAATAAATAGCCTGTGGTTTCAAGAGATTTATCTATAGCTAGGTGGCCATCTGAATGGTCAAAGTGAAGAATGTGCCCATGGGTTCAGTCTCTTTCCCTCTCATTAGTGCCTGGAGCTTTTAAGCAGTCACCTTGGGGCAAGGGCCTTTCTGGTGAAGAATCATGAAAAGATTAAATACACTGACAGTATGATAGTGTACATACTGTACACCCTCCTTCCTCAGCAGTTGAGCCATAGAGCACAGCTTCTAGAGTGTGGGGTTTCCAGACCTTGCAGTTCAACTTCCAAGAGGCTGCCATGTCTCTTACCTGGTGGTTATGAGCAAGTAATTCAGTAATTCAGGCAGTGTTTGAGTGTTTAACTAATCCTGGTTTCTGAATCCTGGGACAGAGAGCTCAAACTTTTTGGCTAAAATCCTTCTGATTCTTCGATCTTGCAGAGATTCTTTGTGTGCTATAGTTGGTAGGGCTATGTTCTTCATCTAGGTCAGCTACACCTCACTGAATTTGGACAAAGGTCTGTCAGTGTGGTTTACCTCCTTGTTTGGAGACATCTGTTTTACAGATAATTATGTCATGCCCAGAGTGCAGTTCAAAAGCCAAGTCTAGTGCCAACAGTCTTTAAGTGCTACCTGAGGTCATCCTATCCCTGAAACTGAGGGCTGAAAGGCAAACAGCAAATTTAATTGATGGTAACAGCAATGTTTGTTTCCATTTCTTTATGAAGGAAGGTCCAAGCATAAGTTAAGATGCCTGTAAGGTTTTATTTTTAGTTGAAAATAAGCAAGTAATTTGTGCCTGTTCAGGTTAAATCCAGCAGCTTGCCAAGGAATGGCTTGTTCTTAAAAGGCTGTAGGCATACATGTTTACCTGGCAATGTATTCACAAGCATCTGTGCTGCCTGGTGCTCCGTGATATTTACCACGTTGCAGGTCCCCAAAACACAGCTTGTGAGAGCCAGCTTGTAAACTGAAATTCTTCTAATTTCAGGCTGATAGCTCAGCTAAAAGAAAATGGCTTTGCATTGAGAGGGGCGTTGACACTCCATGGTGGTGAGTGAAACTCAGGTGTCTGGTTTAAGCAAAAGCTTGCATGACTCTGCCAGCTTTTGAGTGGTGACTGCCATGACAACCCCTGTCTGCACCTGTGGCCTTCTTTCTCCCTAACTTTTCAGCCTCTGGTTCCAAGTAGGTGTGCCTAGCTCCTCAGCTTTTTCCTGGTGTTGCATTTAGACCTTTTCAAAACAACAATAAACTTTTCAAAGGATTACTATATGGAGAAATGTGCAAGAGTTTTGCATGAGTATGGCATGGAAGCATAAAGAGGGAATGTGTGACAGCTCAGTTGCTAACCATGAATTGTGTGAAGGCAGGACTTCAGTGTGATATTGAGATATTTGTACAGGCACTCATAAGCCCTTGTTTCTAGAGCACCTTGCCAGGTTTGGGGGATAAAGGAGTGATTCAAGGTGAAGGTGAAGCAAAACTTATCAGATAATAGATAATTTCTGTTTTACTGATTTCTTTATACTCAGGAACCAGTAACTTCTGCTTCTGTTTCAGGTAGAGTTAGTTATATAAAATTATAGCTATATTGTAAGTGGTTATTATTGTTGGCATGGAAGGCCAGGGAGCAGATGCAAGCCTTGCTTGCTCCGATTTTGAATTTAACTTTTGGCAAAGGCAATTTTGTGTGCATGATTGGTTAATTCTTTTCCATCTATTCATTGTAAAACAAGATAAATTAAGGTCTGTCAGCGCGGAAGTTAAAGGAAAGGAGTCAAACCAGTGGCTGAAAAGCCAAAGAAAATGAGATTAACTAGATGCCAGATACACTGTCACCTTATGATTTATGGAGGATATTTCCTGCCTTGAGATAGAAATGGATTGTGTTTCTTTGTCACATAAAACATTGTCATCTTCTTAAAGCTAAGGTTGGATAAAAAATTGTGATTTAGTTCTTATGAGGAAAAACCCTTCTCTTAGTCCCCAGGTTCTGCTCGGGAAGCATGAGACCAGCAAAAGAGAAGGGCTAGAAAACCCATTCCCAGGCTGCATCTGGAGTCAATGAAAGAGGATAAATTTAGGACCAATTGTACTGTAACTTGTGTGCACTTCTTTTTTTTTTTGGTGTGGAACAGGAATGGGATAAAGAATTAGTGGAATGAATACACAGTGGTTTTAGGACTAGCAGCAAGCTTTTTAGAGCTGTGCTGGAAATGACCTGAGTTGAATTTTGGCCAGCTAAAATACTGTTAAGCTGTTCATCTGACTGCATCTTGGAAGTACTTAACTATAAGTTGTATTGTCACTTTTGGGTTGTTGCATTCCCACTGGAAAGGTAAGGCGTTCTCTATGAACATTTCTGTTTATGCTAATATATTCTGCACTGTGGGAAGGTAAAGGAAAGGCAGATAATTTACAATATGGATTTAGCTCATTTAACCCCATTTAGATCCACAGTGAATTGTCTCAATTTTGTGCTATCTTGGAGTAAGTCTTGTAACAGGTTTTTCAGGTTTTTCCATATTCAGTCTTGTCATAGGCTTTTTGACATATTGCTTATGGTGTGCCTAAGATGTGTTTTTTGTACCTCTTTGTGCTCTCTGTGAATGCTCAGCTGAGTATATTTGGTGTTTCAAGCCTATTTCAATCCAAACTAATGACTTCAGAGAATATCATCTAGGCCCACAGGAGGATTTGCTGTATTTGAATCCATTGACTTCAGTAACCAGAAGGACAATAAGTATGGATCATAGATCCAGTAAAAGAATAGGTATAGAAGGTAGTCACTTTCTTTTAGGAAGAGCACACTGCAAACTTTTTCTGCTTTTGGTAAAAAGCTATTTCTTTGAAAGCCCCAATTTGAAAAATTCCTGAGAATACCTCCAAAATCAAATGGGATTTACCCTCTTATACTAACCAGCATAGCAGCCTGTAATAAAACACAATTAAAATTTGTCCTTTAGGAACATTCTATAACCAACATGTATGGTATGAATAAGGACTAGCTTAGAAACATCTAGCCATGATGCTCAGTCTAACATTGCTAAAAATCCGACCCAGACCTGGATTGTCACCTCACAAACTCTTCCAAGTCTAGAAATTTCTTTCATTTTCATTTGCTGAAACAGTTAAAAGGTGAGTTGACTCTGAAGCAAATGTCATGTGTCAATGGCAGTTTCTGCAGATGAATAACAAAGCTCTTTAGGAGTACTAAAAATAGACATAAACTATAACTGGGGAGAGTCAATCCCTAGCACCCAATCTACAGATAAGCAAGTTATTGACTAGTATGATGGGTTTATATATTTCATGTATCTTAAGTGCTTTGGAAAGCAGAGATAACATGACTTGGATGTTAAAACCGAGAACTAAGAAGTGAGGATTTATGACACATGGTTTAGGTGACTTGTAGTAATCACAGCCGTAGGTTTTTGGGATCTTGCAGAGCAGTGGAACTATTTTCAGCCTTCAGCAGTTTCAAAATGTAGGCAGATAAGATAGGTGGGACAGTTTAAAATGCAATCCTACCACTAGATGGGGGGAAATAGTTATCTTGACAGTACTTTACAGTCCCTCTTATTCGGAAGAAAACAAAAAAGGCTTTACTGTACGTGCTTCTTCTATACCCAGTATGCTGCTTTTAAGCAAAGCTGGTCTGACACAGTGTGGGTGCTTGCAGTCTGAGCAGGTCACTTGGTCTCCATACACAAGAGAGAACAATGGACACATCAGCAGTTCATTTTCGCTTTTCCTAAAGTAGATCTCTGTACAGATAGGCAGCTGAATGACATTGTAAAAGTGTTTGTTCTCCCTGTCCTGGACTACAAAGGCATCCTAAATGGTCTCATCTCAGATGGAGGCATCTTCATTGTAGGTGTCAAAAAGTGGATGAAGAGAGCCTCACAACTTTTTTTCACTATTTGCAGGCGCTGTCTTACACAGTCTTCCTTTCTGGGAAAGCGCTTCTGTCCACTGGCCTGAAAGATTAAGAAGGGAACCTCATATGCCTTTGTAATCTGAAAGGTTTGGAAGAAGTCTGTTTCTGTTTCAGCATCTGTCTCCTCTAAAACACAGTAATCTCAAGGGTATGCAGTTGCTTTGCTTATGTCATGGGGATCCCACTGTGGCCAGGGCTCCTGTACACTGCAGGCTGCTTCTTCTGTCTCATCAGTGTCACAAATGCTCCAGCTCTATGGTTTTAGCTGAGGGAGACTTAAAGTGATTTCCACACCTACTCTTTTCTCCAAACAGCTTTCACTCTAACTCATGAAAATGTACACATGTTGGGGGGGCTTCAAGATGGATTTCTAGAGGCAGTGTTCAGTTTTGCAAGGCTTATGCCTGTTATGATACTTAAACCAAGCTGAAAATATCCCCTCAGGTAGCTCTTTGCCTTTAAACAGGTAATTCTGAAAGACTTAGGTCCGATTCAGTTCACAGGGAATGTTAATAGCAAAATTGTTCTGAGTTTCACTGGCAATGGATAAAGCTCAGAATTCAGTCAACAAATCCAGATGGGTTCCCATATTCAATTTTTCCAGCAAACGTGCTAGCAATTACAGCTTCGTTGAAAGTTGTTACATTCTAAAAAGCATTAAAATGCTCCCAATCTACATCTGGCAAGGCTGTCCAACTTGCCTACATCCTTGATCTCTTTGTTCATGGTAAATTAAAAAGACACAAATCATTGTGACCTGGCTTTCTGATTGTTGATTTCATCTTTCTTCCCACC